TCTCTGATAATGGGGAATAATAACAATGATCAGCAAGATCCAGATTCTTTATTACTAGTTTCCTTTTCTTTTTCATTTTTGTTTTTTGAGAAAAGCTGAATTTGAGGGAAAACATCAGTCCTGACGAAAAAGAGAATAAGGAAGAAACACAAAGTTCGTTAGGGATCTGGAAACGAAAAGTGCAACAACCTCCCTGTAAGGTGAAAAGAAGACTCCTTATGTCGTGTGCAATCGATTCATCAATAGCAAACATATAACTACCATTGTAAAGAAGGAGAGACCCTTATGGATAACGGATAAATTCACCAATATTTGGTGAGAATCGTCCTGTGTAGAAAAGCATCCCAGAACCATACCATATTCATCAAGAGCGGTAATTGCCCCAACAAACTAGTCTACATTTGCCTTAATTGTAGCATCAGATGATGTTTAAAGGATTTGATTGCGCCTCTTCCATCAGTTGTAACTTTTGAGAGGAATGATTACGTCAATATTATATTAATTAATATCAGAGTGGGAGGTCTTAATTTCAAACTCCTACAAATGCACTCTTTAACCCCATTTACAAAAAAATATCCATGTATTAGGCCAAACTGCAAAATAGCAACAAAAAAACAAAAAAACAAAACAAAACAAAACAAAACAAAAACCCAACAAATAGCAAATTTTTTTTAAAAAAAAACCTCCTTATTTGACCTACACGTGAGAGGGAGTATTAAAATATAACACTATTGTTAGCCCACCTCCTAATAGCTTATATTCTACATGTAGGCCGCCTCTCAAGTTAAAGTATGGTCCTGCATCATTCTCTCCTCCTTAAAAAAAGACCCCCTTCAGGGCAGTATTAGAATATAAGACTATTATTGGCTCACCTCCTAATAGCTTATATTATACACGTAGACCGCCTCTCAATAGCCCACCTCCTAATAGCTTATATTCTACACGTAGGCCGCCTCTCAAGTTAAAGTATGGTCCTGCATCATTCTCTCCTCCTTAAAAAAAGGCCCCCTCCAGGGCATTATTAGAATATAAGACTATTATTGGTCCACCTCCTAATAGCTTATATTATACACATAGACCGCCTCTCAAATTCAAGTATGCTACTGTATCATTCTCCCCTCCTTAAAAAAAGGCCCCTCTAGGACAGTATTAGATATAAAACTATTGTTAGCCCACCTCCTAATAGCTTATATTCTACACGTAGGTCGCCTGTCAAGTTCAAGTATGCTCCTGCATCATTCTCCCTTCCTTAAAAAAATGCCCCCTCCAAGATAGTATTAGAATATAAGATTATTGTTGGCCCACCTCCTAATAGCTTATATTCTACACGTAAACCATCTCTCAAGTTCAAATATGCTACTGCATCATTCTCCCCTCCTTAAAAAAAGGCCCCCTCCAGGGCACACCCATGAGGACTTGAATTTGAGACCTCCTGCTTTGATACCGTATTAGTTTATCGATCTATCTTAAAAGTTTAAGTTATTAGGAGGTGGATCAACAATAGTCTTATATTCTAATAGCATCGACATTGAGTTTGATCAGCAAACCTGCCAGAGGAATCCAACCACGCGGACTGCTAATAGGGCAGCTGCCATCAAAGTCAGAGCTAGTTTAGCCCCGCCCCTTAGGAAACAAATAATCGGCAAAGAAGCTACCCACACTCTCTAAAACTGCTGAGGAGTTGCGAACCATAGTTACCATGGGTAAAAAGATTTCTGTTGAACCAAATAGACCACAACCTCTCTACTCTTACAACATTTAACAAAGAGGTAGAGTCCTTTGAGAAAACCTTCCTTCTATCTGACAAGTATACTCCAAAGGGAGCTTTTCTCTCACACTTCCTAGCTAAAGAATAAATATTCCTCAAGACATGATCTAATGTTTCCGAATCTAACGGACAACAAGGGCAAGAATTGATGCAGTCCACAGCCTTCTTAATCAAATTTGTCTGTTTGTTAGAATCCCATTCAAAGTACCCCGGTCGTGGGAGCTACCCATAATCGCGTGGCACACAGAATGTTTACATAAAAACCCGTCGAGAGTCATGATCCCACACAAGATTGCCAAAGGTTCTACTACTAAGAGGGATAGCACAAATGAGGTCAACATCAACATGCCACAAAACAGAAATTAGGGATATCTCAGATCCCAGCCACCAAAAACATTTGAGATCTTTAACCAACTAGTCCTCGGTATATAGAACTGTTGGGTTTGTGGCTTTAAATTAAGGAGAGAAAGAGGGAAATAGGTTAAGACTTGAGATGAATTAAAATTAATAGGCCAATAGTTTACATAAGTTAATAAATAGGCCAAATTACTGTTTTCGTCCAAAACTTGTCTATTTATGAATACCAACTTGACAAGTTATTGTCCATAATTCACGGTTTTTATCCATAGGGTGCTGATTCCTTCTAGTCGTCTGGATGGTTGAGCCATTTAATATCAACCCTCCATTCCAAGATCAACGGTCCAAGATTTGCAAGGGGCATTCAATTTTTCATCCACTTAGTAAACAGGTAACCGGTTAATGATAACAGCTCCAAACGGCAATGAGTTTTATGGTTTATTATTTTGTTTCCTTTCCTTTTTTATTTTCTATTTTGCTTGATATGTCTCAGTCGTTTAGAAAGAAATAGAAGGGACTAAAAATCTGACTCAGAGCTTGGGAAAAAAAATTGGGAGAATCTCTTCGCTGAATAAGAACCTAGAAATGAAGACATCAATATGAACATTCTCAACCCCACATGAACAATCGCAATTGTTTTGATTTGCACCTCCCTTCATCAATCTGTGGGAAGAAAGATTGGTTGGCCGCGTGAAGGGGATCGTCAAGGCTATGTATAAGAAGGTAGCGAATCAAATCAAATTGCAAAATCTATACTCCATCAGCTTCAGCGAATAACTCAGTGATTTTGGATATTTTGGCCTAACAAAATTCCAAGAAGGTTGCAATACACCGTCAAGCATAGAAAGTCAGATGGTCACCTGCAGTGCAGCTGCTTACTGTATGAGACGATGGTTATCCATGCCATCATATTTTTTGTGTCATGAAGTATCTTAATATCAGCCCCCAGTCATTGATATTGAACATATGGACAATGAATGCAAAATCAATGATTGACCATCGTACCATTCCATCCGTAGAATTGCCACATGAGGTTGTCGAGATGGTTCGCTACGGCTCCTTATCCTCTGATTTCAACAAGTTATCGTATTATGCAACAAAAGTTCCTGAGTTCTACAGAGGCAAAGATGGAGCTTTCAAGGTTGCCGTCTAAATTTCAGAGCCTTTTCTCATCAATGGAACAACATCAGTCTAACCAGAATGATGAAGGTCGCGAACAAATGCTTCGAATGATCAAACTGCAATAATAAGTAGTTGTCGTGAGAAATAAGGGCACTGCTAACCGCCCACAACAAAGGGAGCAGAATGATAGGGAATACAACTTGGAAATTGTCAGAAGAAGATGCGGTCAGTGATAAGGTTACGACCACAATAGGCAAACATGCCCTCAAAGAACCCGTAAGAGTAACAGTGTAGATATTGGCTCAACCCCAACAATCCAAAATTCCCAGACCACCCCTAAGACAAGCCAGCAAGAACCAAAACGACAACTCAATACACCTACAGCCAGTGTGATGGTGAAGGAGTCTACCGTCCAAATATAGACTCCGGGGGAAACACCCAGTATGAAGCACGCCACCGTTACGACTTCTCTTTTGATTTTGACCTCCATGATGATGATCTTGCCCAAGTTTACCGTCCATCATATTAGTTTTCGAAATTATGGATGTTATGAAGACAAATTAAAATAAAAATTAAAAATACTTCCCCTCTTATTGTGCTATGTTGTGTTCTAAAAAAAAAAAAAAGAAAGAAAAAATTAATGCGAAAATATTACATTTCATTAAATTTCTTCATAAATCATACTCGATTCAAGTTATTTAAAATATAAGTTACGTTCTGAATAAACCATTGAAGTACATAAATTTACCTTGAAATGAACCAGTGTTACGTCTCTTTCACTTATAAATTACGTTGTTCGTAAATCAAAAGCCATCCGAAGTCTATACATTATTTCATGAAGTAAATTAACGTGAGACATTAACGAGAAGATCCACACAACAATACAACTTTACAAAACTGCCAAGTCAAAAAGCCACACCAACTCGCTGCAACAGGTGGGCACAAATAAAAAATTTATTAAAAATTGTTTAATAATTACTTAAACCAATCATTTACCTATGTTAGCATCTTTTTATATTCCTAATAATATGCCACGTAGGGGCGGAACCATCCAGCCGGCCGGATGGAATCAGCCTCCTATATTATATATATATATATATATATGTGTGTGTGTGTGTGTGTGTGTGTGTGTGTGTGTGTTTCATCATTTTAACCAAATCAAGTTAGCACACGAAAATGTTCATATTGAAGACGAATGTTTTGATCATCAAAGCATTCTTGTCTCTAGCACCTAAAATTATCCAAGTTAATTGGTATCAAATATCGCATTTACGCTAGATAAAAACCAATAGCGATGGTGATGCAAAATGGTGCACCTGGTCCTGCTCCGTTCATGAGATTTGTTATTTTGGTGCGTCATGCTAAATGTCTTTTTGTGGAAATTTATGAGAGTTGAACGAGACTTTTTATGGTTCGAGTGTGACTCCTCATATGTGGCGAATCGGTTGATTTTTAGATCGTTGAAGGTTGCTTGGAAATTTATGCCTTGCTAGTCTAATGTTACGGACTATCTCTCAAGTGTTACTTTCAGTACTGCTTCTCCTGTTTATTGTGAATGGAACTTAGTTGCTGATAATTTGTCAACTTTTGTTGTTCATACGAAATCTGAAAAATGGTGGTGGAGCTCAATTGATAAATAGTAGTACTAATTAATAAGTTGGTATTTCCAGCAAGTTATAAACCCAGATCCAAACTTTTATTATATATAGTTTTAGTCAGCAAGGAAATAATTTGGCCAAAACCCAATTGAACTTCATGTGTTGAAAACACCAACAAAATCGGCTTGGGCAGATCCAGCATAGTATCGCGAACCACGCTGTAAAAGCTCACTTACAGTAGTGTTATAGTATTGGTCTAGAGGCAAAGTCTGCAAATTACCGCCAGCTCCGTTGATTCTAATTTCTGCAGGTACTGAACTTGGTACTTCTGTCCTCGGTATGTTGACTGCCACCCAAAAATCTCCTGAAGGTGCTCTTTTAATATTATCAGGCCTTCCTGGAAATTTGGCCACAACTTCAGACGTAAAAGCTCGGGTCCCACGTAGCCAAAATCTTCGAGTTCTGTAAGCTATGGTCTCAGCTACAAGTAAATACGAGCGATCTGAACTGATTGCAACACCGTTTGCCCCAGAAAGGCCACTTAGTAGCACTCTGACTTTTTTACTTCTGCAATCGTACTTTAGTAACCTTCCTGTTGAGTCATTGGCAGCAATTGCGTCTAGGATTTGGCTGCAAGGATTATACAAGTAGTAGTAGTAGTTGTTCTTGTTGTTGTTATTATGATTATTATGATTATTATTATTATGATGATGATTATTATTATTATTATTATTATTATTATTATTATTATTATTATTATTATTATTATTATTATTTATTATTATTATGATTATGATTATGATTATGATTATTATGATTATTATTATTATTATAATTATTATTTTGTGTGGATAAATTAAGGCTAGCTAGAGGCACACCCCAATATACAATCGGTAACATATTAATAAAAACAGTTCATCTCATATGAGCCTCTGAACTTTTGGGTCTTTCTTAGTTTTGTCCCTTGAATTTTAAAATATTTTACATTGTTCTTGAACTTTGAATTAATCCCGCTTAAGTCATTTGTTAAATTGTCTATTAAAAACATACGACAAAATAAAAGGTCAAGTGTAGTTGTGGGATCTTTTCCATTTGGTTTTAATAGATACTATAACATAAAAATTACGTGACTGCACTATCCTTTTTTATAAGTGTGTTTCTAATAGAAATTCTAACTAAACGGATTACTTGGGATTAATTGAAAACTAAAGAGAGAACGTGAGAGTTTTTAAAGTTTATAAGATAAAGTGATCAGAAGGACCCTAAAATTCAAGACGTGCTAGTGAAAATAATCCGAACAAAATATATGTAGTGTATGTATGTATGTGTGTGTGTATATATACATGCTTGTGTGGGCACGCGTAGTTGTATTATTTAAGAATTGACAAGATTTTAATTGAAAAAATGATTATATCTATATTGCGTATTTATTTAATGTTTTTGCTTTTTTTTTGGCTGAAAAGTGTATTTATTTATTGTTAGTCAATTATTATATTAACTAAAAGAAAAAAAAAAGATAGAAAAGAATACATGAACAATACCATTTTGCTAATTCTAGGCATATAGCTTCACATAAATCCACAATTAACTCTATCTTAAGATGTTGATTTCAAATTCCCCAATCCGGGGTCCATAAAAAATTAATTGAAACAAATTGGAAAAAATAAATGAATGAAAGTAAAAGTTTTAACTTTGCTAGGGGAATACCTTTGCAAGAATTTTGAACTGAAATCTGTGAAATAAACGTCTCCAGTATGTTGATCAACACTCAAACCGTTAAGAAATCTGAAGGGTGTTCCTTCTGCAGCAGTAGCAAGTCCGGTTGCAAGTCCTCCATTTGGTCCAACCACAAACAACCCTAGAAAAGCATCAGCAATAAATAGCATATTCTTCCTGTGGAAGAATTCAATACCTAATGGTCTCCCACAAATAGGACGCAAAGCCGGATCATTTGTTCCATCACAAAGAGCCTTGGACCTGAATAAAAAGTTCAAAATCACAAAGCATTAATATGGATATCTTTTGGTTCGCTGTTCGAATTGGAGTGATCCGGTTTGAATTGTAGAATCTGAATTGTGGTAATTAAAATTGCGATTTTGAACTGGAGTTTGCATACTCAAATAGATTATAATTTGAATTGGAATAAAATCATAATTGTGTTTGGATATATAGTGTTAAAAAACTCATTAGAGTTTTGTAATAAGTGTTATTAAATCTCATTGCAAATTAATGACATATTTAACTATGCAATATGGATGGAGATTTATTCTTCTTTTCATTATGAATATATAGAAAAAAAATCATCTCAATTGTAGTTGAAATAAAGAAGTTATCACATTTTTAAACTTGAGGTTGAAGAGAGAGAATATAAAAGATAATTGTATTTGAACTGTTCACACTAATCCGGATGTTTTTAGTAAAAATATTTATTTAAGAATGTTGAATTTTGTTATCTTGTTTTATTGGTATTAAGTTCATTGATGTTGTTTTAATAATTCAGATTTTGTTAATTTTTAACATTTATTTTGTTAATGTGGATATTTTTAATTTTTGATTTAGTTATTTTGGTAATAAAAAAAAAAAAATTTATGTTAATTAATAATGTTAATTGAAGTATAAGATTAGTTTAGAAATATTTTTTTATTGCGTTTATTTTAGGATTATGTTAGGATTAGGTTAGAACTATATTAGACTTGAGTTCATTTTAGGGTTTTGTTATGATAAGTTTGGTTATTTACATTAATTGTTTAAAAAGTATATTATTTACTTCAAAAACTTTTCAAAAATATGTTATTTGCCTCCTTAGGCCTCTTTTGTTTAAGGATTTATTATATAGTTGGATAATAGGTTACTTTATTTTTTCTAAAAAATATATATATGGGAGTTTGATCTCTATATATAGGAAACTGATAGGGTTCTTAGCAACAATGAAAAAAGCGAGAGACGAAAGACAGTCACTAGATAATTAGTTGGAAAATAGTGCGATAACAGTAGTGGCAATGACCAAATAATTTGGCGATGATGGAGTATAGCCTGGTAGACCAAAATTTTTGCAATAAAATTGTACCCCAAAAGCTAAGCTTTTTCAAAGAATTACCAAGACGTTATTTCTCGTTTAAACTTGGGGTCATTCAATAGGATCTCCTATCAGTGATGCAAATTTTAAACTATTTAGATTATCAAAATCACATCAACATAATATTATATAAATCTGTCAAAAAAGAGACCTACAAAATATCCTTAAATTTGCCGTATGATATTACTAAAATTGAATTACATTACAAACAAAATATATATTACCTATTCCGCGATGTGTAAGCAAAATCGACGAAACCTGTCGTATGTTCATCATATCTAACAATCCTTCCATCAGAGATGCCTGTATATGGTCCTCTACCGAGGGAGTCGAAAGTGATAGATTCAGGACCTACTGAAGTTGTTGGCAAATAAAGCTTCCGAAAAGTTGATATTTTCTGAGAAAGAACAATACAATTAGAGGGAACAGAGAGGAGAATTAGGAGAATGAAGAACATGGTTACTGTTTAATTAAAATCCAAATTGTCTAGAATTGAATGAAGAGGCATAGCAATCCGCGCAGTTTTTATAGCTACTATAACTAATAGATAGATATTTCTTTATTCGTTTGATTGAATAATATAATAGAGCCATTAATAATTTTATTCTCTGGCAAGGTGTTAATTACTAAAAGTATGAAACCTTTTTCTTTCAATTAATATTAAATCCTGTGGTCATCGGTTTATTTCTCTTACTGACTCTTTTTTTTTTTTTTTTCATTTTTTTCTTTCTAATTATATTTAAATGAAGAGTTTGTTATTGGTATCTAGAAATTATTTGATGAAGTGATCAATAGAGCATATACGTAAAACATTAGTAGTAGCAAGCATAAACTTGCGGTAACCGTACACCTGACTCCAGCACAGTATTGAGTCTGAATCCTCCCCAAAAAAAAAAAAAAAAAAAAAAAAAAAAAAAGAAGAAGTGTATATAGGCATTAGCCAGATGGGTTAATGAGTGTCGATATGACTATTTCCGCTTAATATTATCCATTCCAACTGAAAAAAGAGAAAAAAGTCTAATTAGATATAATGACAAGGATAGCATAGCAACATTAATCCTAATTATTGTGGCATATGTGGACTTCTCAAATTATTGATATTCGGCTGCAATTCATCGGATTTTATTTTCTCTCTGCTTTAAATCTTTGATCATGGTGTACAATAACAACATACTGCAAGATCCAAGGTTCTGGATTCTCGCTATGAATAAATTCTTTTTTTTTTTTTTTTTAAACGTGACGGGATTAAATCCATAACCCCTATTCAAATTCTAACCCACTCAAACCCCCTAATGCCACTAGACCAAGAGGTCTTACGCAATAAATTCCTGTTTTCAAACTTATATTCCCATAAATAAAGAAAATTTTATATCTAATAAGATCAATATAAGAGAAAAAGAATTACGAAGAATGTCTTGCTCATTTTGCCAACCTTCCTTAATTGTTAGAATAGTTTTACCTTCATGGCAAAAAAAAAAAAAAAAAAAAAAAAAAAAAAAAAAAGTTAAAATCTTTGGGAGCTTACATATGGAGCTTTGAAAAGTTCAGAGGAGTTGGTAGCTAATATCTTTGGGGAGAGGATTTTCTTATAATTAATCTTCAGTTCAAGAGTAGAATGTGACCAAGTCTGGGCTTCTGGTCAATTAATTGTACAATAACATAAAATAATGAGAGTACAAAATAAGATGGCATTAAATTTCAATTTTTATAAGCAGAAGTCAATAAATGGGCAGGGTTTAATTATTGTTTAATCAATTGAAAATATTGTAGTATCGGGATATTGGCGTTCCACTAAGTATTTGATATATAGGGTTTACTCTTGAAGAGTTACTGGGTCATTTTGTTAGAATTCTATTGACAAAGATATTACTATAAATTTGCGTATACTCTGAAAACTTTTGATGGTGAAAATCAAAATATTCAAGCTCTGAATGGTGATTAAGATAGGTTTAAAAAGGATGACAAAGGTGATAAGGATACAAAGATTTGATTTCAGACGAGAGTGATATAATTGATATAACTACTGAAATAAGATGAATTAGTTGATGATAATATTTTTACTTCAATATATGATAAGTCATGAATATCAAAATAACTCAATGATTACCAGATTACTCTGCTCATAAAAAGATGAAAAAATTGTAGCATTAGGTTCTTGGAATAAATTGAATGAACTTGGAAAATTGAGGAAAACAAATTGAACAATTACCCTAGAAAACAACCTTATAAACTAACAATTCATAGAGGGAAATGTTGGGATCGATGCCAAAAATTATATGATGTTATGATTCGGTGCCAGGTTTTCTATTTGCAATTTCTCTGATTAAAATTTATAAAGTTCTATTTAAGAAAAATTTGACAATTCCCAAAATAGATATTTGACTTTTGAGATTAAAAACAAAACAGATAAGACGAGTTTTTTCTTTCCCTTCCTTCTTACTTATGTGTAGCGGCTGGCGCACTCATCACTTTTTTAAAAAGAGACTAAAGTGTCACCTACTAAATAATTAAGGGACTATCAATGCAAATTATTCTTCATTTATTTTTAAATGTTAAAAATAAAAGGGCAACTTCAACTATGATTCTATCTCTTAGCACTATAAAAAGTGAGTTTGTGATCCTTCTTATTGTATGTGATCCTTCTTATTGTTTTCACGTCGTTCACTTAGTACCAAAATTGGTGTGGAATATCTAAGGATTTAAAAGAGACAAACAGTTCGTTATTAGATGAATTTTAAAATTATTTATCTAATCGGACAATGATAAAATTCTTATTTTCACTTCACATATATGCATAAGTTAATATATTTGTAGTTGCTCGTTCAAAGTTTTTGAGAAAATTTTTGAAACCAACAGAAAGGCTTCAATTTGAGGAAATGACTGCGTTTTCTAAAAGATTTCTCCATCTGAAGTAATGATCAAGCCAAACGTTGTTCTTCATTCTAAATTGGCTTTTGTACAATCTTTGAACAAATTTAAGAAAAAACACACAAAGAAAAGGATGCACAAGGAAGCTAAGGGTCATTTTGTCTAGTGTCTACAATGGGTAGGAATTCCTAAAGCCTCGACCTACAAATAACTACCGAAAACGTCTTATATTCAATCATCAGATTTGTACAAAAAATTATATGTTTTATATACTTTTTAAATCATATATAATTTTAATCAGATCAAATAATCAGAAACTGACTCTGTGTAGGAAAGCCATACAAGATAAAAACCCTATTTTGAACTATAGGCTTTTAATTTTCACAAAGATATTTAGGCTACGGATTCAGATTTTTGATTAGGCTACCCACCATTTTCATAAAGATATTGTCATTTTATACTTTTTTTTGAGTTTTGTATTAATTTGGTTTTCTTGATTGTGTCTTGGTCTACCGAATAGTTCTCTAAAGATTTTATTGTTATTATAAATGTTTTGGACTACTGATGCACGTTTTGATATGTACTAATCTACCAATTATTTTTGTAAAGACATTCTCATTTTATTTTGATTATGATTTATGTGTTGAACTACCAATCATTTTCGCAAGGATTGTATCTTTTTATTTTTTTTAATTATAATTTAGGATGCCAATCTTTTATAAAACAACTGTATTGTCATTTGTTTCGATTAAAATGTATTGTCTGTTTCGATTATTTTATCCATCAACTTATCCATCACTTTCGCAAAGATACATTTTTATTTCAATTTTTTCTTCCAACAGCTAAACGTGCGCTAACCAAAGGGTGTTCGAGAAGGGGCCCGGCAAAACAGCAAATTTGAACAGATGTGGATAAATGAATATTTTGAAAAATCAATTTGGAAATGATTTCATAAAATCCCTAAATCAAGGGATATAATCTTATTATTATAGACAATAACTACGCATATTGTATTAATATATATACATGAATCATGATCAACCGTTTTATAGTTTCAAAAAGAAAAAAAAAAAAAAACATGTACTTCAAAATTTGAAAAATCTGCCATTAAAACAATATATTTTAAGAAATCATAAATTTTTTAAATAAAGATCTTTGTGTAATTATTTCACAGGTAGATATGGGTGCCAATCTTACTCGGCATGGTACTTGACTCTGTCCGATCTATAATATCAGAATAAAAACGATAAAATCGATATCGACATAACTAAAAGCTATCAAAACGTTTAATCATCTAACTAAAAAAAAAATCATTTAACTAATTAGTTGGGTACCCACAAATAATATCCATCAAACAAATTTGTTGGCATGTGCACTAATAAATATGCTAAGCCCGTCCCTCAATTTATTAATATAAAATTAAATTAAAAAAAAGATTTGATTAAAGGAGTTAAATCACGAATAGTTCCTGAATTTTTTTTCCCTTTAAAAATAGTCCTTTTAGTTGATTTTGAATTATGAATAATTCATGAACTCAAAAAGTGTTTCATAAATAGTTTTTCTGTTAAATTTTAAATGTAAATTGTTAATTTTGTCTCACAAAAGATTCCTAACATATCATCTCTCTAATAAATTTAATCCCTAAACTTAAAAAAAAAAGAAGAATATGTCAAAATTAGTTCATTTTTTAAATAGATAGCTGTGAAATTATATCAAATTTTGTCCCAAAACTAAAAAAGAAAAAAAAAAGAAAGAAAAAACTAGTGATTATATTTACACTCATTAATTTTCTAAATAACTTGATATAAAAATAATATTTTTTATTTTTCTTATATTAATAGATAAAATAATGTTAATGTTATAAAATAATCGTGTGGTACACTTTGTGTACTGTGAATAGTAATTTGCAGTTAATTTCTTTTACTCTTGTTTATGGAAACTTTTCTCCTTGATTTAGCGTTGAAAGATTCTACCGAATGGGCAAGATATATTTGAGTATTGTCTTCTTGGTTGAATTTTAAATGTATTGGGCTTTAATGTTTCGTTTTGTTTTGAATTAAATTTGTTTGTAATTTTTTTTTTCATAGAGATTTGTTTTTTTACTAAGAAAATAAAAAAATAAAGTGACATATTAGGAGATAAAAGGGTTGAAATAGATAGAATACAAAAGATATTTATGAAAGTATACGTTTTAAAAGTTATTATTATCAGAATAAGAACATTTATTAATATGGTCGTGCAAATACAATCACTTAAAAAAATTATCAAAGTTAATAAATAGATAAAAAAAATTTAAATATGTGTAGCAAAAAAATTAATTTTGGTATTTTTTTTTTAATTTTAAGAACTTTATACATTTGGAAACTTCTCATATTTAATATTTTTTAATTAGTTTTGACATATTCTTTTCTTTTTTGGGGTTAGGGATTAAATTAGTACAACTTTTAACATATGGACTGTTTTTAAAGAGATAAAATAGTTTAGTGACCTTTTATGAAATAAAGTTAACAGTTTCTATATAAAAATTAACAGAGAGACCAATAGGTATGAGATACTTTATAATAAGCTCAAGGATTATTCATGAGACAA